GCTCCCGCGTCCCTGCAGCATCCTGGATGTGTCCGAGCGGCGCTGCCCGGGGCGGGGGCGGAGGGCGGGAGGAGCATCCCCCCCGCGCCCGGCGGGGCCGAGAGCAGCTCCGCGTCGCCTGCGGGCCGAGAGGGCACCCTGCGGGCTCTCGGGTCCTCCGCGAGAAACCCGCCTCCCCCTGCCCCGTTACCTTGGGTTTCCTCAGCCTTTCCCGTCTCGGCGGCGTTGGGGTCGAGTTTCCTTGTCTGGGGCTGTCCTGACCCCGCTGAGGCTTCTCAGGGGAGGCAGCAGCGTGCGAGGTCTGAGGTCTGGAAAAGCAGAGGGATGCGGGATGCGATCCCCGCGTCTGTGGGAGCCCGGGAGAAGGAGACGGGCGAAAGTGCGAGCGTGTGCCAAACTCCCCGTTTCTATAAATAGGCTGTGCCTGCCGCTCTGACTGAACACTTACCACACGGGTACGCGACACGCAGCACAGCCGCGTACGGACCCCCGGGGACATCGCACCCCGACCAACTTCGGCAGCTTTGCACAGGCGGCGCTGACTGTCCCCCCCGTTGCCCTGAAGGGGTAATAACGAACCAAAGCAGCGCTTCAGCGCGAGCGAGCACGTGACTTCCCCCCTTTATTCTTTAAATGTCTCCTTTCAGATAGTCCTCCCACGAGGTGTTCTGCTCTCTCACATGGAGTCCCCATTTCTCCTCCTAGTAGTGCGCGCTGCCTGACCTTCACAAATACGCCTCCTTTGCCGCGCCAGGTGAAGAGCAGAATTTTCGTAAAGGAGTGGGATGCGCGCACTCAATCAAAGAACGTGCCTGCTGCTGCATTCCAAGCCCGTAGAGCAGTGTTTGCAGAAGAGGCGTCTATAAATAGCAAGAAGTCTGGCTGCACATCTGTAAACTGTCATAGCACTAACGGCACATATTGCATTAAAGGTCCCAGGATCCTGGGCAGCGTTGCAAGGAGAGATGTACGAGCACAGCCAGTTCCTTTCCGAGCCATTTTTCAACGGCAGTTCTCTCCAGACAGGGAAGATAGGGGAGAGGAGCTCTTTAACTCTTCCTATCCTATTTCAATTCACTATTAGTACATTTTTGTTGTTTACCCGCCTTGGTCTTTCTGCTTGTGCAATGCTGCGTGCGCTGCAATGTCATTTTATGCTGGAAGCTTTCTTGAGGACAGCTTCGTTCCAAGGCTGCAGACGGGTTATGGAGAATATTAAAATGCTGAGCTTCCTCTCCTCAGACTATCCATCAGTGACAGATTTGTGAAATGAGAGTGAAAATTGCAGATTAGGCATATCCTGCTGTGCTTGCACCTTAAGCAAATCAGAAGAGATCCATTCATAACACCTGCCAAGATATTTCCTATTTTATTAATTTTCGTAGTTGTGATGTTAAGAGTTAGCAGTGCATCAAGCAAAATGTGCCAAGACCTTTGCAGCTCTTTCACTTGTCAGTTTTCACATCTATATTTAGCAAAGTCATATGATCCCAGTGTGACCTTCAAACCCGTATTTCTCTAACTTTCTCCCGAAGTTAGCAAACGTTCCGTGGCAGAAGGAGTACAGGAAAAAGCATCCCACTTTTGGACTTATCACAGTATCAGAGAAAACTGGGGATTGGTATAAATTTGCTTCATTTGAAACCAATGGGGCATCAGGAATAGGCATGGTTTGATACTGACTAAATTTCTGAATGCCATGGTGATAGGGGTGATGTAAAAAATGTCAGATGTAATGAGAGAGAGGAAGAGTTAAAACATTTAAGAAATGGTCAAAATGTCCCACTTCCAAATCATTCCAAAAACCTTCTGGTTCTTACTCAGATTGATTCAAGCCAATTAGTTATGTTACAGCTTCATAGTAAATTTTTTTCTTTTTTTTTAAATTTACCACAACTAAGAGGATTACTCAAACTTTTGATCAAGTATGGCAGTATCGTGTTTCAGCAGTAGGACAGTTTAAGAAAATACATTAAGATAAAGAACATAGACACTGCATGAGACACTTTTTACTCCCTTAACTACCCTCTGATGACCACGGTGCTCGCCAATTAGCCTAAAGAACTTAAGGAGATGATGGCAACAAGTACAGACAAGGGAAAACCAAAGCTACAGTAAGACAATACTGTTTCCTGAAACAAGAAGACAAGAGAGTAGAAAAGCAGTCGCTCACTAGCGTTAATTTCCGGTCAAGGAGGACACCTGGTGTTACCAGGAAGCTTACAGAAGTGTGCTCCCGTGGTACCAGATTGTACAGACATTTGCATTACCAGTATCCCCGTAGCCACACATCTGGGTACAAAACATAGTTAAGAGCATGGAGGTGTTGCTACAGGTGCTGTTGGATCAGGCTCAGAATAGTTTTGTAATTTTATTGTGCTGATAACAGCCTGATACCAGTCTGTCTGCCAGAGTTGAAGTGGAACTGGTGGTTTTTTGTATGTGTCTATAGCAGCCTGAGAGTACACAGTGCTTGGTATAAAAATAAAAGTCAAGGGGAATAAAATTGTAAGTCTTTTCTGTTTAGAGGCTCACTGAAGGTCATAGGGGTCCCACTAATAGAAAGCTTGCTAGAACGGTTTGGGGTCCTTGTTTTGGTGTGCACAGGGAAAAAAAAGATTCATAAAATCTACTCCCCTTGGCCATCCCAACAACTTCAAAAGAAGTTCCATTGGAACAAAAGCTGTAGAAGCTCTCCTCAAGATATAAAAAAATATCCTCTCTATGTAAGTCAGGAAAGAAGACTTGTCTAAATAAACCAGGACCGTTTGCATAAATAACAGATCCAGAGTTGGGTTCTCTGCAAATAATTAAAGGCACTCAGAGAGAAAAAAAAAGGAAAGAGAAATTCTTCTTTGCAGAACACACGCACAAAGATTGTGCTAAATTCATGGTGCTGACCTGCTGTAGTTTTGGGTTTCTGGGTCATTTTATTTAAATGTATTCAATGGAAGCCATCTTAATAGTAGGCCTGGTATCAGTGATGGGAAGCAAATTGAAAGAAGTGAGATTTCAGAAGTACTGTGCCTCAATGTGAACCCATTGTGAACCGATGCCGCATGAATGGAATAGCACAAAGTTCCAGGGTCTGTGTGCACATCCAACAGACACATACAACTACACGTAATAGGTTAATCGTTGACCAAAACAATTCTAGAACCTGAAACTGGGCTGGTTTTGTGCAAATGCAAGTGCATAGTGACTTCATGAGGCCAATTCTTATGCTGAAGACTTCACAGTGTCTGTAGAGAGCAAAGACGCCCATTGCACTGCCAAGAATACAGACACTCGGTAATTTATTAATGGTAGCAAAATAGAGTCCTCACTGAACGTCCTATTATACAAAGCTTGGGGTTTGGTTAGAAGAAAAATGCTTTTGAAGATTTAGGGTAATGGGCATAATGGATGTGCTTCTCTATACAGATGACTATAACTGGCGTGGTATCATGGGATCCAGGTCTGTGAAAGTAACTGCTCTGTTCTCAGAAGTGGGGAGATTACAAAGTCCTGTCTATGAAATCCAGCCATACCACTACTGAGGGGGGAAGAGATTATAAAATCTCTTGAAATCGTGAGCTTCTGTTTGCGATTCATGAGTCGGAAGAGGGTCTTCTCCTTAACAAGTTATCAAAGTACAAATGAAGAGAAGCAGAGCAAGAGTGTGCCTAAGAGAGAGCAGTGGACCGATTTTTTTCAGTAAAAGTGAGTTTTGTTCTTGGCTATTACACTCAATGGTCTTGGAGATATAATGTAATCCCTCTGAGCTTTCCCATTCATACTGTTGAATTCTGTGATTTATTGGCGAAAGGTGCTGTAGGAGATTGTTATTTGGTGTTATTAAATTTCTTAGACCACCATATATGAATGAATATTAATCAGTGGGTGGTGTTTACCCAAGAGAGAAATAGTGCTGCTGTGCGGTGTACTTCTTGCGCTAACAGAAGTCACGACAGGTCTGGCATGGTGTCAGACAGCTGGCTGAAGAAGCAGCTTATGACATAGCTTTCCAGCTCCCTGAGCAGGATGCCACGTGCCTGTGTCACATACCTTTGAAGGGGACAAGTTGTGGTAGCGGGTGTGTGCGGGTAGTATATAGGTGAGCTATAGAGACCGGAGCACTGCCTGTGCTCTCGATGCTTTGCACTGCTGAGGAGGCAGTCAGAAAGCTGACCCATGATGTCAGTGAGGAATCTTTCGCTGTGGGTGTAGTCAAATCCCCAGCGGCTATAGAGGCAGCTCTGAGTTAAAGCAGGGAGTATTCCCCTTCACCGCATTTTGATCCTGTACAATGCTCCTACGAGGACTACTTAGGCTAGTAACAAGGCAGCTCTAATATAGTCTTGGGGGCTTTTCTGGTTTCTAGCCAACTCTGGAGTGGGGGAGAGGACATATGGCTCTGAGCCATCTTCTCCTACGAACTTCAGCTGTGCAGAGCATTAATTTAGCTCAGCTGAAGATCTCAGTGTAGTTAAATGCATTCCAATACTTTGTCAAATTTAATACTAAAACCTCAAGACATTGACCATAATATTTTGGCCCCATTGCAGAAAT